TCAGCTGTTTGTCGGCAGATCGGGGCAGTCTGGACGCGACGCGCCGACAAAGAAGCCTTTCTTCATCGGCACAGGTAAGCCTCGTGAAACCCTCTTCTGATCTGGCTAATCTACATGCCTCCGTCGAAGGAGGCATGTAGTCTAGACACACCCTAAGTGTTGACCTGTCCTGTGACTACATCTTCACTGGGAGCTAGGGGCTTGATTCCCAGCCCACATACACATACTTGTGACAGTTCTTATCAAGTTAGTGCACTAAAAATATTAACATAACTGCAGTAGCACGGGCACCAGTAGCATTCGTTAACTTCCCTGAGAACACACCTGTGAGATCCAGGTAAGTTTGTACTCAGAGCAAACAGTCTATGCTGCTAATTGCTGTGGCCCATGCTGCCATGGTTACGCTTCTATTTTTAGCACACTAACTTGATGAGAGCTAGTGCATGGCTTTGTCCACGCTTGCAATAGGGCGACAAAACTTTTGTCATTCACAGGTGTTTAAATGACAAAAGTTTTGCTGCAGCAAATGCAGAAGTGAACACTTTCCTGTTGACAAAGTGAAAGCCATTTGCGGGAGGGCGGGGCGGGGGGGCGGAGGAAGGTTAAGAAGTATTTTATCATGAAATTACCAAACAAACATTTACATGTACCAACTTTTAGCTACAGGGTTGTGTCAACACAGCCTTGTCACTAAAAGCTGCAGTGTAGACACAGCCCAAGAGTGGCTACATGAACAGGGAATCACAACCTCAGCTCCTAGTGCAAGGCTACCTCTATACAGTACTGCACAATTATTTCGGAATAAACTATATTTCAAATAGCTTATTTCGAAATAGCACGTCTACATTGCAGGGAAGCCTCAAAATTAGTCCGAGGTGGGTTTCTCTAATTTAGACATATCTCGATTTAGAGCCTCAGGAAGAATAACTTAGAATGGCCCTGGTGAGAGGCTATTTCAAAATATCAGTAGTGGAGCGTCTACACACACCGTATTTCAAAATAGCGATTTTGGAATAGGCATGATTCTTCGTAGCATGAGGTTTACAGAAGTTGAAATAAGCCATCTGTTATTTCGAAATTGTTTCAAAATAACGGAATTGCTGTGTAGATGCTCACATAGTTATTTCAGAATAACGGCCTTTATTCTGAAATAACTGTGCAGTGTAGACGTAGCTTAAATGGGTCTAGGATGGATAAAGCTGCTTCCTGTTTGAATTCCAGCTTCAAACAGCTTTCTGTTGGCGTTCCAGGACACTGTTGGAGGTGATGTCTGGAAATGCTGACTCTGTAAGTATGTCAGGCATTAAGAGATGGGTTGTATTACGGTATTATTATGCACATAAAAATGTGAAATGTTAATACATGCTATAACTCAAATCTACTCCCTCTCAGTTTTCATGGATACTGCATGAAGGCCAGTTTGGTAATGTTAGCTGTGACCCTGTCACCTTTCATCTCACCTCCATTTTTTGCATACCAAAGTACTCTGCATTTTTCATCTCTTCAGAAAGATTCTGATACCTGAAGTTCACTGAAGAGCTTTAGTTTTAAGAAAAATCTTGTTGTATTCCAAATCCTGTCTCTGACCTAACTGTGGTAGTAAGGACAATGGGTGGGAGGCAGAAAAATTAGCTGTTCTGTATGAAATCAGATGTGTTTATACATTTTTAGGCAGAGCCAAATTGTGATGCTTCAGGGTGCGGTTAGCCCATCCGTAACAAATGTGAAAGGGGATAAAACGCAAGTGGAAAAAAAGATCCCCTCCCCCCAGGGATCTCTTTTTTTCATAAATGCACATTCTGTTTCTCCCCCTAGTGAAGCTTGAGTTCATTTTCTTTAAATCACTTCCACATTTTCTTGCCGTAATTATAAAATAGTTTGTGTCAGACCTCACTTTCAGGAAGGCTGTAGTCAGAGAATTCAGACATTGCTTATTTTCAGACCTTTCAGTTTATGAGTTTGAAGCTGATGGCTTTTCATGGCTGAAGAAGGTCAATGCAGTAAAAAAGAAAGAGTCAGAGAAAGTAGTCTCACTTTAAAACTTGAAAGCATGGAAGAGACATAATATAACACAAGGTGATCATACAACAGGGCTTAAGTTTTGCTAGAGGATTATAATGCATGGGAACAACATTCTTTTAATGCTTTTTAAAATATTTAAAGGCACTAACAGTAAACCTGGCAGATGTAACCTTAGCCACCCACAGGAATACAGAACAAGGATCTCCATTCACACATATATGCTGAAACTTTTACCCTAAGAAAAGAATTACTTTCTCCAAACACGGGTGTATTTTTCACCAAACGAAATTGTTTGAAAGCTCTGGAGTGAGAAACTGTTAATTTGTTTAAATTGCTTGAAGGACAGTGTATAATAACCATGAGCGTTTCTGAACCCTCCAAGATCTGTTACTTCCCCCAAATACCCACTCCAATTCTTTTCCCAAATCCCCCTGCTCTGGGTGCTTTGCCGCCTACGGGAGAGGCACAAACATTTACTTGTGTGCTCACGCACTGCCTAGATCTCAGGCTGGAACTTTGCAGCAGATCAAGTCTGCTCCTTGGGCTACCGCACGAGCTACCCCAAGAGCCCTGTGCTTTCTGCGGGCTTTGCAGCTAAAGCTTCATCGTCCGGCGGGGATGGGAGCGCCCTGGAAAGCGAGTCTAAAAAAAACAAAGTGCCCCGGGGAGCCCGGAGCCCCGCCACATACCTCAGCGTGCAGCCGGGCGATGGCCACAAGGGCAAGGACGGACAGACTTTTCCAAATCTGCAAAAGAAAGCGCGAGAGAAAGCTGCGCGTGAGGAGGCGCCCCAGAAAACTTCCTCGGGCTCCCTTACCATGCTGCTCCTGGCGCGGGACGCGAGCGCAGCCGGCTGGGACCAGAAGGGAAAAGCCGCAGAGAAGGGACCTGGGCTGCTTTTTCCTCCTTCTTCAGGAATTTGAGCCGGGCTGGGAAGCGCTCTTTCCTCCCCCCGCCCCCGCCAGCTCCGCCCCGCGTCCTCTCTCTACGCCCGTCCCCACCGCCCTGCTGCGCGGCCAGGCGGCTAAACCGGGGCCAGCA